ACTAATGTGCAGGGTCATGGGTTTGGCTTGCGGGTGTCTATTCGAGAAGAAGGTTCGCAGGCAAGCAGGCTCAGCGCACCTAGGGTTTCAACCCTCTAAACTGAAGGACTGTTCGATGCCGCAGAAAGGCCACACCCAGGGCTCTTATCCCAATGACCTTGTGGACAGGGTTCTACCTGTGACACTGAATGCGTGACAGGCTCGTGACAGGACACCCCACGCCAGGAAAGGCATCTAAATGATGCTTTTGACAGACTTTGGAGCCCAAAGAAACCACAGCAGGCAACAGTGCCGAAGTGGGGATGAGGAGAGGTGATCAGCAATTAAACCCATGCCTTTTGAGTGTCAAAAGTCCAATGCGGCAAAGTGGAGGCTGGAGGCCAGAGTCTAAGAGGCAGGTGGAGGCCCAGCTGAAGCTTGATTGATCATTCAGGGTCTTCAAAGGCCCAAAAACAAGACACCAAGCAGCAAAGTCATCAGAAATGATCGCATAGCGGCATAGCTTTTCACGTATTTTGTTCATGTGCCTGCTGTTGCAAATGCCGTTGTGAAAAACGCCTGTGCTTTTCTCCTCGCGCAAGAGGCATCTGGCAAAGCTGTTTTTACCAACAATTCGGATAAATCCGTGGGGCACATGGCAAAGCTCTTCCCACAGCGACACCTTTTTTTTTCCGCAAGCTGTGGTACACTTTCCGGTCCACAGGTCTGAAGGCCTGGTGTTTTCCATGTGATGAGAAGTAATATGAAATAAAGAAATAGCGATGGCCTCCACCCTATGAGAAATCAATCTGAAATAATTCTAAAAAGCTTTCTGTCATAATCACATATAATCACCACCATTTGGAAAACACCGCAGTAGAGTCTTCATTTCTCTTGATCACTTCGCTATGGAAGTGGCGGTGGAAGCACATCGGCATATTTGCCAGCGACCCCATGAATGGTTGGACCGAAGGTAGCTTCGAATGCAACAAGAAAGCATCTCACAAAATAGTGATGGTGCAGGATTGAGTTCAAATTGTCAAGAAAGGGTGCGATCGCTAGTCAACTGATGTACTGTACTTGCATCAGATTGCATTTGGAGTTTGAGCATGCAAGCACTTGCGAGGGTGCGTGTTGCATCAGAAAAAAACAAACAACTATAGATGATGTATCCTATTCCGCTACCTTCTGTCCAAGGCCGTCGATTCACGAGCTCCAATGCCAAACCTGATGACAAATCATGTGCTTTTCGCAGAGTCCTTGCTCCTAGTAGCGATGCCCTTTGCTCCTAGTAGCTTCATGTTGCCAGGAGTAAGGCCAGGAGCCCCTAGTAGCGTCCTTGCTCCTAGTAGCGATGCCCTTTGTTCCAAGCCAAATGATGGAGCCACAAAATGGACACCACAAACTCAAGAAGTCTGGATTTTGCCCACTCGACACATCACTCACTCGACTCATCTTCCTGAGAGACCGCGTTTTTTCGCACCTCTATGTTCCGCACCACAAAATCCGTTCCTGCCTGGGCGACGGCCACGCTGGACACACCCGACCGGAGGATTTTTTCCAATCCTATTTTTGCTCCGTTCGTAGCGATGCCAGGAGCCCCCAGTAGCTTCTTGTTCCTAGTAGGAAGGCCAGGAGCCCCTAGTAGCGTCCTTGCCCCTCACACAATCCTATCAGTCTGCCCAGTCTGGAAGAGGGGCAGTCTGCCCACTCTCCAAGTTTCTAATGACAAGGGCTGTTGTTCTGTGGCCTGCCAATTCGCTTCCATGCACTCAGTTGGTTTTCTCGAGGATACATCCAGGTTTATCGTAAATCGTCCGAAACCGGCTAAGAACTATATAACTATAGTATGATATAAGGCCTCAGTACACATTTCAGCAATTTTGGAATCTATAACACTAAAATGACCAGAGCACAATCATGCAAAATTATATTCGACTTTGAATTTCTTGCAAAAGGTGCCGAGGGGGAATTTCTCGAGTCCCGCACGGTGCACAGGGATGGCGAGCCAAAGCCAACGGATGGCCAGGACACACCACGCAAAAGGTCCTGCTGTTTGTTCATACACTGATGTTCTTCGTCAATATTTTTCCTGTGAAGAACACTGGATAAGTATGCTCCAAGATAAATTGTGACAGCCAGCGGCAAACTGGAAAAGTTCATACAATTTCTGCATTGATGGCCAAAAGCAATACTGATACTACTGTATCAAATTTTATACTAGAGTATGATACCTAAATTTACAATGGTTGTTGCATATTGTTGCAAATTATATACTTGATTTCAGAACTAGACTCGACCATATTGTTCTTCGATATTCTTTGGATATCATGCGGTTCAACCAAAGTAGCTTAAGTTTCCCTGAAAATCTAGACACCAAATCATTAGCGTGGGCTATCCTGCGTCCTAAGTAGTAGCTTAAGTAGTTAGTAGCGAATTCCTCCCCTACTCAATTAAGTAGGCGCCTACTTAATTAAGTAGGGAGGGGGTTGAGCAGTTTCCTGGTGCCACAAGCTTTTTCCGACAGTTTCAGCTCAGCGGTCCTGGTCAATGAAAAGGGCCGGCCCATCGATGCCCACCACGATGCCCTTGGACGGTGTCATGCGGTTGTAATCGTAGCGTCTAGTAACTCTAGTACAGTTCCCACCAGGTCGCTCAACATCTAAGTCAGCCGCCATGTGGTTGCAGAACACAGAGGCTGAAGAAGCTGGTGCCTTGACAAAACCAAACAAATTAAGCGCTATCACGTCACCAAGTCCAGCCAGGATTTGTGTAGCTCCCCAAGTCCGCCACTTGAGCTTTCCGCAAAGCCTGTCAATCTTGGCAGAAATGGCAGAAAAGCAAACGTGTCAGTCTGACGACCACGGACTTTCTTGGCCTCGAAGTACTTTGCTTTCCTGAATTCGTAAACTCAAATGCAACAAGCACATCCAACCTAGTAACGATGGCCTCCACCCTAGTAGCGATGCCAATGGAAGAAGGTCAAGCTATATAAGACAATTTACTAAGACAATTACATTCATTCGCCATCAATGCGTGCACGTGTATATGCGTGCGCGCCGTATGTGCGTGTGCGCATGTGTGCGACACACAATGTGCGCGGGCGGGAGCCGGGAGCAGGTCAAAGTCATGGGTCTCTCGACGTCTCCGATATCCCGTGGAGAGACACTGCAAATTCATTAAGTTAAATGTCCTTAAGTGAATTAGGGAACAAAGTGGTAGAGGCTCACCAAAGGAACTGGCTACTCAAGTTTCCCTCAACAGCTAGGAAGCAAATCGCTCATAGGTTGGAGGCCATCGCTCTTAGGGTGGAGGCCATCGCTATCAGTTTCCCTAAAAATTATTCTGGAAGCAAATTTAGACAGTGCGAGCGCTTCTTCAAGAACTTCTCCCCGGCGCCCTGAAGCTTCCTTCAAGCGGGAGAGCTATCCGCTATCCGTCCTAGCTAGGAGGGAACATGTTCCTGGTAGCGAATTAGTCTCCCTTACTGCTTATTTATATAAGTAGGCGCCTATACTTAATCAAGTAGGAGCGGGCTAAGAAAAAGACTCACTCCACAATTCCCAACTTGTGAATCTCTTTGAACCCATTGGGGCTCTGCAGCCGAAGCACTCACCGCTGAACCCTGAGGACGATGAAGGATCTGCCTCCCTGGGTGCAGTACATTCAAGATCTCAAACTGGGACCAAGGACCAAGGACTTTGATTTTGGTCTTTCACAAGCTTGCGTCAAAAAGACTTTCAAAATCTTATTAAGATTGATCAAGGTACAGTATTCAAGGAGAGTATTCAGGTGTTGCTAGTAGTTTGTTGATCTTTCACTTGCAAATTCCTGCGCAGGGACACTTTGTTGAAGTAAAATTGTTTTGGCGAAAGGCTTTGATTGCATAGGTTCAGATTCTTCCGTACGGAAACGGATGACACCGCTTTGTTCGCAGCGATAGAAGCGCTCATTCCGAATCAATCGAGTGGAAACGCGGCACCTTCCGACAGCCCCTAGTAGCGTCCTTGCTCCGTTCGTAGCGATGCCAGGAGCCCCTAGTAGCTTCTTGTTACTAGTAGTAAGGCCAGGAGCCCCTAGTAGCGTCCTTGCCCCTAAAGTTGGCGCTGGCGACAGCCTCTATTCTCTAAGGCACAGACTTTTTCGGGGCAGAAGCCTCCGCAAAGATTTCTACATGACTGTTACTTATGTCTCCCACAGTGTGGTCCCACAGCAGTCTCGAACACAGCAGTCTGGAGCTCTGAACCTCGAGTCCCTGAATACCAAAGAGATGTTTTGGTGGCGGGGGGAGCTTCCTTTAAGAAGCGCTCACACTATTCATTTGGTTCCCAGGTTCATTATGGTTTATTCTAATACTACAGACATGTTGGCACGTTCAAGACACAGTGCTTCTATCCACGGCAGTCCTCATCGTTCTGCGGGGAGGTTGTCGGGACACTCCGCCCGTAAACCTGTCAGCTTGCGCGAGGGCTTCGGCTGGTCCACACATATATCATCATGAGGTATCAGGATTATGATATTGATTTTTTCTTGACGACAACCAGGATGACAATGATGTGAGTTCCGCCGAACTTGCCTCAGTACGCCAAGCACCAGCGGTGCGTGGGGTCCTACCAACATGTATGCTGCAGGAACGTTCCCAAAGCCTTAAAAAACGCCTTTTCAAATTGACTTCTGAAAGCCTTTGAGTCTTTTTTTTCAGAAGCCCTTTCTTGAATCCAGAAGCTACGATTGATACCATTGATGCGAAGTTAAATCTCTTCAAGTGTTCAAACACTTCATTGTCATTGGATAAGAACTTGTCAGCCTTGTTCTTGGTCGGACTGTTCTTGGAGTTGTTCGTTTCTTTCTCCTGAAAACAAAGCACTCGTGGGTGCCGTAGCATTGGCTTACAGGCCTCACGTGAGGCACACATCTTGACTCCGATGTCTGTGCAAACCCTGCTTGAGCCGGGTTGACCACGCGTTTGAAGCAACAGAATAGTACCAAGAAGTCTATGCCTTGAATGCCTTGGAATATCTTGGAATCTTTGTATGACTTCGTACTTGTTCAGATTGGGAGACAATTGTTCACCCACTTTTCGTGATTAAAGGCTTCCTTACCTCAAGAATGTCAGCACAATTTTTGTCGCACATTGCGGGGTTTGAGCGGCAACAGCTCACAAGACGTGTCTAGAATCTGCGGAAAACAACCATGCTGGACATGGTAAGGAGACAAGGCGCAGCTGTGAACATCAAGACACGGTGCACAAGCCCTCCAGCGTTTGGCCGCATTGGTTGCCGGCACACACACACACACAAATACATTGAATTGACATGATTGATATTGCTAATATAAACGTGTGAGTTAGATACTGATATTCTGCAATTTTCCTTGAAGAGAACCTAACAGCAACCTCATCTCTTAATAGATTTATTACTGGCACAAAATGGATGGCCACACTTGAGGATTGTGGATCCGCAATACCTTCTTGACTGCGGGCACTCAGCAGAACCCTGCTGTGGGCGCGGGCTATGCGTCATCAGCTCCAGTCTATGAAGGTGACATCATCTCAGCAAAATCTGCCCCCATTGGCCCCCATTCTTGAAGCATTCTGAAAGTTAGATGCTCCCAAATGCAAATGATCGCACACATACAAGCAAACTGTACCTTATCATCTAAGATAGCAGATTATCTACAGTCTACAGTATCTGTATCAAGGAGTCACAAGCACCACCTCCATGTGGCCAATGTGGGCAGATTTTGGAGACTCTGGCAAGCCAGATCAAGCCAGTGACCACCAAAAAACGGGTCACTGGCCTATGAAGATCAAGTCATATAAGCGATGCCGCCTTGGTTCACTTTCTCCTCGGGCCCTCGGCTGAAGTACTTCGCCTCGAAGGCCGGTTGCTCGTCGTAGGGGTGGCGAAAGAGCTCCAGCAACTCGGAGACCAAGCTGTAGTCGCCCTGGGCAGCCTGTAAAGACGACTTCGGCCGCAGAAGTCATAGCCTTCGCCCTTAAAAGAGTATAGGTACTGGATAGGTACTGTTTTTGAGGCCTTAAAGATGTGAATATCAGGAGTGTACCTTTGAAGTGGACAAACAAATTTTGCATGTCAATGGACGGATTTCCGGTCAAACATCACCAACAAGGCCTTGTCATATGCTTCGGCCAGCATCCATTCCCTGGGCACATACTTCGGATTCACCGCCCTGAGCCGTGCAGTGACTTCCTGGGCGTCTCCCACAGTGTCAGCCCATCTCTGCAGCCAAGCTTGCCATTCTTCAGCCAGCTCCTTCGATGGAGCCTTCGCCACCAATGTGACATCGACCAATGCGTGCTCGAAAGTCTAGGATACTCTTTTCTTGTTTCTAATAGCTTCTTGTTGCTAGTAGTACGGCCAGGAGCCCCTAGTAGCGTCCTTGCTCCGAGTAGCGATGCCAGGAGCCCCTATAGTAGCGTCATAGTGTTTATCCCTATTTTGGATATCCTGAACTGCAAAACCATCCAGCCTTGTAAAACGCCGGCTCTATCTGCTGGAGTTGGTCGCTCTCCTACAGGTACTGCTTCTCTCTTACAGAACTCACCGTTGCATTTACCAGGTCAAGTCTTGTCGACCGTGCTTTGGCAACTGAGGGCTGGTCTGCACATTCAAGAACTGCAGCAAGCTGCCTCCAAAAGATTGTATAGTCAATATCTGACTTCCTGCGCTGCGTCTAATCAGCAAAAAGGTCTTGCCATACTTCCAGCTGGGCAGGCACGGCGTCGAAACGATTGATTTATTGATTTGTTTGGCAGGAATGTTCCAAATCGAATCAGGAATCGGAAACGCTACCAACAAGGAACCGAACCGCTGCCGAATCGCCACCGAAACGAACCGCTCGAATCGAACCATGAATCGAAGTGGGATTCAAGGCACAACCCGTGATGTGACCGAAGCAGGAACAAAGGCAGCCAAAATGCGTGGCCGACATTTGATGCGTTTTTGTCACCACCACCACCACCACCACCACCACCACCACCCACCCACAAAAAAACGCTCACCAAAAGGCTCCAAATTTCGATGAAATGTGGAGCTTTTGCGATCGATATTCCCTGGCTTGATGTCCAAGTGAAGCAAGCCAGCCTGGCCATGCAAGGTCTGGAAACGCACCATTGGCACTCAACCAAGCTAGCCCCCTCAAAAGACAGCGCAACCCATGGAAAGGGCACGCCATTCACATCGGCATTGAGCATCTCTGGGAACCACCGTTGCTGGGACTGAGTCAGCTGGCCAAGTTTGTGGTACATGGCCACTTCACGCGTGGCATCGTCTGACCCATCTCGCTTTCGATACACTTTGATGGCACACGCCCTGCCATTGCCACACCTGGAAGGAAAGACCTGTCCATATGAACCACCATCTGGGCTACGACCATCTACCTGGTCCAAAAGCATCAACCCTTCCACCTTTACATGAAATTGATTTAGCTTCAACTATTTTCAAGCCAACAATGAAGCCCGTGAACAGAGATGAAAACAATCCCATTGGAGGCGTCAGCCACTGTCCTCTCTTCCAAGGTCCGCATCTGAGATGCTTGCGCTGCCATGGGCAGTGCTCGAGGGCCATGCCGCGTCAACTGCGCGCTCTCCACGAACCCCCTTGCAGAGCGGCAGCAATCGCGACAGTAGACCCCCACATCTGCAAGCTCTCCAGCAGATGTGTATGGCAATGGCCAACTCGACCAATGGGGGTCATCGGCCTCATGCGCAATGGGCACAGGTGACCACCAAGCAAGATGGCAAACCAGCAGAAAGCAAAACATACCAAGAAGCACACACAAAAAAATAACAAACAGAAGGCGAGCAAACGAACAAACAAACAAAGAAAACACAAAACAAACAAACATAGCCAAAACAAACAAACAAACAACATCAGGCCAACCGCAACACAAAGAAAAACAAAGAAAACAATTCAAACAACACAAAGAAGACAAAAACACTAACGAAATAAACAACTAAGCAAACAAAAGTTTTGTTTGTTGTTCTTGTTCTTGATCTTCTTATTCGCTGCTGTGGTTTTCCTTGTGTAGTCCCTGCTCTCCTGCTTGTGCTCCCCTTCCTCATTTGTGATGTTGCGTTGAGTTGATGTTGCATTGACCGTGCGCGTCGTTTCACTTTCTGCTGATGTCCACGTGCTTCCTTCCATGCATGGTTGTCCTGCTTTGTCCTGTTCGTCTGCATGTGTTTCAACTAAGCACAAGCTGAGGAGCATTCAGGCTCAGCTGGCATCCATGGGCCAAAGCGTGCAAGGTGTATGGATGGAGCAGCACATGGAACAACCTGTGCTCTCCGGCGGGCACGAACTGGTCCAAGAGCTCGCGAACAGCGCAGGACAACTCAGTTCATTTCAAGGCGGACGAAAAAGGATCACTGTCCCCTAACAACACCAACAACCCCCAAAAAAGCATATAGCCGAAGGCCAAGTGAACTAACATGAAGTAACACTGAATGAAATCCAGCCAAGCTTCGACCTGGAACTTCTGTGGCACCTGGACCCTTGCGCGGATCTTCGACAAGAGATCCCCCACCTCCAGCACCAAGTTCATCCAAGCGGGAGAAGCCTGAAGCAGATTGGCGAAGCAGGCCCGAGTCCCAGCAGGGAGGTCGTCACTAGAAGGAAAATGTTGCAAGTCCCGCCAAAACAAAAAGTAAGAGGAGGATAGAGGAGGCACAAAAATTTGCCAAGGAGCTAGCACATAGCTGGTTGATCGACACTTCGGTCCTGTGACCTTGTGGCCAGAAGCCGGAAGTCAAAAGGTCGAAGCCAGCAAATGCCCATGTGTAGGTCTCCGATGGGTCGTACCGCGTGTTCATGAACTCTGGGGCGGATCGGATCGCCCTCGGCTGGTATGGGACCAGCTGGAAAATACAACGGCGCATCAATATAATAGAGCCTAGAGTCTAGAGCGGATTTGGAGGGAAACACCCACAACTCTGAGATGAAGAAATAGAGTAAAGCAGACAAGACCATGTCAAGGGGCAGGCAATGAGCACGCACATCCTCAGAGCGCAGCTTCAAGATCTCAGGTGCCATCTTCACCAAGCTCGGCAACGCGGCTGCCGGGTCAGCAGGTGCTCCAGCGTCTGCCTTTGGAGAGCCATGTCGTGACGATGTCTCCTTCGACACTGCCACGCCGCCGGACCACGGACCGCGGACCGTGAACCAACGCTGGATGAGCCCACGTGCTAGGCAACCACGGTGGTCTCACAACTCTCCCACTTCACAACCAAAACCCTTCATTGAACCTCTCAACTCAACCTCACTTCTCAACGAGTCCGACGAGCCGACGGGTCCACCCCAAAATCATGGCCTCACAGCCCGTGTCAAAGCGGAGCCGGAGAGAGTTAGAGACTGGCAGCGACTAGTACTCCAGTGCACTAGGCATGGCATGGAACCTTTGTTTCGAAAATTTTGTATCAAAGGTCAAGGACAGCGTTTGATGGTGCAGTTTGTTGCTCACGTTCTCTCTTCAAAGGCTGGGGCTCCAGGCCCGGCAGGAGGATGTAGCTGACCGCCGACCCTGCACCTTGGACCTTAAGCCTGGATGGCCACGATACCCTTGGACCGTGAGCCTGCCTGGAAAAATTAAAAATTGGCTAAACTCACTCACACGATGAAATCTGCCACCACCGGCGCCAAGACTTCTGGTCGATGCTTGGGTCCTTTTGTCACCAAAAAACACCACGAAGGTACGACAAGGAATTGAAGCCACGCCCTTCGCATCCGAAAATCAAATCCTTATCCATTAGGCCACAGAATGCTGCGATTGAGTTTCTCTTACAGCTAAAAAGCTCTCACCCAAAAGCTCCAAATTTCATTGAAATTTGGCGCTTTTGGAGCCGCCGCCAAAATGCTCCAAATTTCATTGAAATTTGGAGCTTTTGCGACCGCCGCGACCGCCACCAAAAAGCTCCAAATTTCAATAATTTGGAGCTTTTGCGACCGCCCGCCGCCAGACAACCTCCAAATTTTGATCAAATTTGGAGCTTTGTGGCCGCCAGCACCAAAAGGGTTCGTGCCGTTGCAACCTCGGTTTTCGTTCCACCACCGCTACCACGGGTGAGTTTGGCCATATTTAGACTGCCATGCCCAGTTTTCGTGCTAGCGTAGCCGGCGTAGCCTTGCCTTTGGGCTGAGATGCGTTGAGGGCCTTGGAGCTTGTAGAGATAATCACCACTTGTAAGCCTTACAAGACTTCAATCCCAGCACCTTTGGATTCCATTTCCCACTACGATTGCAGGATTGAAGATTACCTCTAATCCGAGCAGATCCCAAAGAATAGTCCATAACCGCGTAATCTTCAATCCGTGCAATCCTAGGGGGATTAGATAGGATCAAGCCAGTCTGCTTTCATTGCTTGGAAAGGGTTCAGTCTGAACCTGCAGTGAACTGTTTGGAGTGTCTTAGAGTCAAGTTTCTTAGGATGTGTGATTCCGACGAAACGAAACGAAACGAACCGGACCACGAACCGAATCGGTTCGAATCGAAACCAATTCCTAGGAAACCAATTCTTTAAATAAGGAACCGAACCGACTAACTGACGATCGAATCGAACCCACCCTGGTTTGGTCACTTTGGCATCTGTACCAGATGTAAATGAATCTAAATTAGAGGGGAATAACTAGGAGTGACAGATTTCCAAGATCGAATCAGTTCTTCTGCCTTGTTCATTGTACCCGTCCTCATCAAAGGCTCCAAGTCCTTCCAAAGCTCCAGGGCCGTTTCAGCCTCTTCCGCTTCAAAGCCCAGCTTCGCGCGGAACGCGTCCTGCGCGGCGGCGCGGATCTTCCGGGCACCGGCCTCCATGAGGGCAACCACCTTGGGCTGAGCCTCATCACCCAGCAGCACAGCCACCTCGGCTCCCACCGTTACTATGATCAGAGATCTTCTTATGATCGAAGATCCTTCCATGCGCTAAAAGCAAATCCAAGAAACTGTTGGTCACAGCATTTAAGTGTGGTTGGTTAAACGATCGTCTTCAGTTGGAGCTTGACTCCAGTGGCTCCAGTGTGTGTTTGTGTATTTATCTCCGAGCAGCTGAAGTCAACAAGGTATGGAAGTTGGCGATAGCAGCTTGCGGCTGGTTCAGAAAGCCATAGTGCTCTCCAGATCCAGTCCACTTTGCAAAGAGTGGGTTATAACGATCAATCCATCCAAAGGGGCCATAGTCCATGGTACGGCCACCCACCAAGCAATTGTCAGAGTTAAAGTTCCCTTGACAAAAGCCGCATCGCAACCATCCTGCCACCATCTGTCCCAGGCGCTCTGGGAACTCCTCGAGCATCAGAATGGCTTTCTCTTTTAGAGGCTCCTCAGAGTTTGCCCAAGCGAACCACTTGGAGAGCTTGGAGAGTTTGTGACAGTAGGTATGCTTCAGTATCTTCAGCCAGCAAATGCAAATGGTTGTGGGCACAGTCGATTGTGGATTTTTGCGTTGCTAACAGTTTTATTCCGATCGCTCCCCCGCTGCCCCCGTGGATTAAGGGACATGGAGACATTGGACGGACTGTCATTGGCTCGTGTTATTTTGTCTTCCAAACGCTTTAAGCAAATGTGCACACTTAAACAACGGAAACAAACCAAAGTAGATACCCTAAAAAAATGCATAGCATGCTCCTGACGCTCAGCGATTTGGGGATATTCCCTGAAGAGTGCGTGTTCCACGATCTGCTCCAGCTCTGCCATGGACTCACTGCTGCCGGCCGCCCGGCGAGCAAAGAGGTCCACATGACCCACCCGGAGGAAACTCGGAGAGACGCGGGTGGAGATGGCACAGGGCTCATCGATTACCTGGGCGGGGTTTACGACAGGCAAGGTATACGACGTATAGTATAGCTGAGAAGAACAGAAGCCTAAGAGCGATGGCCTCCAACCTACGAGCGATGTGATGTACTGCCACAAGAAAACATGGCTCAACGATCAGGCGATTCACAGTATCAGGCTCACGGCTTCCGCCAAACATTCCACCGGCAGGTGCGCCAGAATACCAAGCTCGCCTGGAGGCCCCGTGTGAGCTCAAGGCAGGATGCATGGAATGAGCATCACAAGTTCGGAAACATTGCGCGCACACGCACACACACACACACTCATGGAAAACCCTGGTGAAAAACAAGTGATGGAGATAACCCGCGCATCAGGTAGTATGACACTTTCAAGCTGCTTCCCTGCCTGGCTGTTTCACCATGAGAGACAATCAAGCACAAAGCTCTGGTGGTTTCGACCCCCAAGTGATGCATGGCTTCAGATGCCAAGAACTCTCGCACGGAAGAGCGCAAAACAGCACGTCCATCACCACCTGTGGAAATTCCGGAACATCGAAATTGAACATCACATCAACTATCAATCACATCTGTTTCCTTTGTGGGATGAGCACAAACATGCACAAACTACAACAACAGCCTTCATCACACCCGTCGCACCCGATACCACCTCATGTCCATCCTGAAGTCACTTCCATCCAGTCTGACCGTCCAGTCTCTTTTGGGTGTCTTTTTTGCCGCCGCCTCGGCAGAAGGGTGTGCGACCAGCGCCCTTGAGTTGCATCTCATAGCGGCCGCTGGCAGTGAGCAGCTCCCCCACTGAGATGGCTCGGCCGTCGCCGTAGCCGTTGCCGTTGCCAAAGGGGCAGTTAGAGACCATGCGTTGACCCATGATGGCCAAAGCATAGGGTGTACACCAGGACTTCAAATTGGGCACCTGTGATTGATCTCCAGAGAAGAAGGCCTTGAAAGCCTCTGATTCAATCTCTTCAGGTGGAATTTCCAACATCTCAGCCACCTCCGGTGAGTAGATCACTAACTCCGGACTGGGCAACGGTGTTGGCAACACTTCCACATAGTGGCCCGAGGTCACTTGCCGTGGGCTGTGATTGGGTTGATTCGCTTCCATCTCCGGATCGGCTGTCAACCGCTCAAGCCATGACTGTTCCGTTTGGCTTGCAACCTTCTGGATGGACTGCAAAGCGTGGACTGCGACGCTTCTCATTTGTCGCCCGTTCGCACGGCAATCTCTACTTCGGCCGAATCTATGTAGGGCAACAGCAAATACTGTACAACCCGCTGCAAATGGAACGAGCCTGCAATGGCAGTGAGCCAACATCGGTCCCAACACACTAGATGCCCAACTCGCAACTCTCATCATGCAACAAGGATCTTTGCAGTTTTACTCTCACGAACAGTCTAGCTTGACTTCCGAAAAGGCCTCAAACCTAATAGCGATGGCCTCCACCACAAAAAAAAACAAAACTGGAAGGAGCTTTTCAATGCTTTTGGTCTCTGGATCGCCTGGCCGGGCGCGGCCGGGCAGGAGCCACGACACGCGAGGACCGGAACCGCGAGGCGGAAGATGCCCGGACGCTCGGCAGGACTGCCATGCAGAACCGTGCTGCGTGCAGGAGCCAGCCACGTGCGTCTAGTCTTTCTCGGTGCGTCAAAGCAAGCTGCCTTCCTTTTTGGGGGCGTTCTTAGCACGTTGGGGGAGAGAAATGCTGTGAGCGACCTTAAGAGTAACATTGCCCTGAATAAAGAGTATCAAAAAATATATCAAACATCATTGCCTCTCAAGGGTGTTCATCCAGGATCTGCAGTCATCAGGGCCTCTCTGGGACTTCTTGAGCCAAATGGTCTATCCAACTACGGCAGCTACGTGCGCTGTCATGTTCAAACTGCACGTAAACCGTCACGTGGTTTGCTTGACACCGACTTGCCGCAATCTTCCTTCAAAATCAGGGCTGAAAGAAGCATACTGTATTTCAGAAACTGGACAAATTCGACATGCCTGTCGTTCTTCTGCCAGATTATCACCATGTGAGCGCTGTTGCTTTGAGATGTGAGCCTTAAACCCTCGCTGAGAAAGGCCCCAAAGATGCTGTTTGAGGAATCCTGCTGCAACGAGCTGTGACGCAGAATTCTCATAAGGCAAGGTGTCGCTGAATTGCAATAACCGCTTGACGACTCCCAGCCGATGTGAGTCGGTCCTCTACGATCATGACACATGGTCCGGAGTCCGATAGCTGCCTGTACATGGTACGCAAAGAGACACCTCGGGAGGCGTCCCAACTCAATCAAAGCATTTAGCCAGGCAGCACAACCAGTCAACATTCCCAACAAGTCAAACCGCAATGAAGTTACGAAGACTTGCATCGCGCACAGCTGCACACACACTTCGAACTTGGGTTTTCAGTTAACGCAATTGTCTCAATGGGAAGGAAGGCGATGGAACGGCAAGGTGGAAAGGTCAGCTTAAATTGTATTGTTTAACACAGGTTTCACGACAAGCACAAGTGGAGGCGGCGGTCAGCAGCTGCAGTGCAGTGGGAAACCTGTTTGTGGGGAAAGTATCATGTGGAACCACCATGAATCAAATCAAAAGAGTGGACAGCGTGTGCAAAAGTTCATTGAGCAGGTACACAATGCGGCGTCCCGCATTGCTTCACCACGAGCTGACAGCGTCTTCGTTGGGCAATGTCTGTCAGTCGTGCATTGCCCCCCCTGCCTGTGTAACATGGGAAGAGTGGTGGGGTAAGACCCTTTGTCCAGGGTGGGACACACACAGGTCGCCGCATTCGGCGCTTTTTTCAAAAACCGGTGGCAGGCGTGGTAGTTATGCCCCTTTTGGACATATAGGTTCACGAGTTCAGCCGCAGCAACGTCAGCGCTGGAGGGTGGGAATGTGTATTTTCGAATGGTGTGGAGTCGTGATTGGAGGCCTGATAGAGCCAAGCGCTGGCTCCCGGCGGTTGTGGAATCCCGGATTTTCCAGGGTTGAGAAGGTTGCATGTAGGTGATAGTGCGTTGTGGGAGGTCGATGTTGAAACCGAGGAGATGAAAATCCTCCACCGGTTCAAGTTCCACAGGGTCGCCAAAGAAATTGTGGTGGATGAGGGTTTGGATAGCCGGGTGTTGGAGGAAATGTTCGTTGTGGACAATGAAGCGGTTGTCGACATATCGATAGTAATTAAAGTGGAGGTCTGTGTGTTGAAGGAGGTTGTTGTGGATCTGATGCCATGAATGCTCAATGAGGGTGATGGCAACATTGCATAGGGCTGGAGAGAGCTGGGATCCAATCCCGGCCCCTCGGATTTGTTTGTAAGTGTTGTTGCAAGCCCGGAAAATGCATGCGTCGAGGGCAAAAGTCACAATGGTGGTGATGTCGGAAGTCTGGATGGTGCGTTGGGTAGGGTGTTTGCGATGGTGTCTGCCAATGTGGGAATGGTGGAACGGATTGCCGGTGGCCTGGACATCCACCGTCAAGGTGTGTGTGGATTGCTGTTGTTGCCAGTGGAGAACAAGGGAGTGAACTGCCTCGATGAGTCGGTACTGTGGGACTGAGTTGAAGAAGCCGACCAGGTCATCGTTGGTGGCGTGTAGTGAGATGTCTGGTGGGGTTTGGGTGAGGTAGCTGTGAAAGTGGTGCCAAAGCTGGGGAATGGACATTTGGCCGGGATGCTGAGGGTAGAGGTGTTGGAGGATGATGTCAAGGGCACGGCTGGTAATGCGAAGCAGGTTGCCACTGAGTGAGTGGAAGTATGAAATAATTGTACGGCCTTTTTGCCAGTGCTTCTTCTCCTTGAGGTGGACAACGCCGTAGGGAATGTTGAAGTCTTTTCGGAAGCCCCACTTGTAGCGAGCGCGCAAAATGGGGGGGACAGTGGCGGCCAGGTGGTCGTGGATATTGGCGGCAGTGACGTAGGGAAGTGGTTCGAAAAGTTCCGGGGATTGCCAGGTATTCAAGGCGCCAGTGAAATATTGGCGAGGGCAAAACAGCCGGAGTTGTTGGAGCTCATGGTCGGCATGGTGGAGTAATGTGTGTTTGCCCAAATGTTCTTGGAGTTGACGAAGCAGGCGGGCCGTAAAACGGGGTTGCTGCTTGAGGTGTGTGTTGTGAAGGCGCCATTGGTGCTCAAGGAAAGGCTGTAGGTGTTGAACTAGGGATGGTGGAAGCCCCTGTAGTTTGAGCCATTTGGTATAGGCCGTCGTGAAAATGAGGAAGTACCGAGCTTTGCTTGGGTATTAGGTGCTGTTCATATTGGCGTTGAGGAAAATGCTGAGGTGTGTAGGGAGTTGGAGTTGGTCAAGTGTAAGGATGTAGTGGCCATTGATGGTAGGGGTATCGGGATCCTGCAGGAGGGTGCGAAGGTGGTCGCATGCACAGGGGAGGTCTGCTGGATCTGGCGGGGAGTGGAGGGTGTCCTCCCATGTGCGGTGGTTGTGCAGGTGGGAGCGGAGGGTTTTGTGGGCGGCTTCCCTCAGTCTGTGGGAGGGGAGATGGAGGGGAATGGTGAAATGCTTGCGCTGCTGGATGGTGGTACGAAGCCATTGTTGGCAGTGCTTGGTAAAGTCGTCATGGGCCAAGAAGGGCACTGTCAATGGGATGTTTGGCTTTGGTGGCGTGAGGTTGCGGTAGATCAAGGCTTTGTTGAGGATGTGAAGAGCTCGGCTGCGGCCAGGTTCTTCCAAATTTGCGGCCATACGCCGGATTGCATACACCTCGAGGTCCGTGTGGCGGCCGCTTCTTATCTGTTTTGCTGCCTCAAAAGAGGCTGCGGTGTGTTTGGTAAGGTTGCGAAGAAGTTGGAGGGCGTGATGTTTAGTGGAAGTGTAGAGGTGTGGTTCTCTGAGGGTGTACTGGCGTTGTCGAAGGCGTCGGAAAAGTCGTTTGTGGGTGGCTAGTCTGGAGTAGAAGTGGGCTCTGTGTTTCGCAAACTGCCATCCCTGAGCTTTGAGTTTGAGGTGGTGGGAAATGAAAGGCCAGTTGAGTGAAGGCATCCAGTTGGCGATGTAGTGGTGCTCTTGGATCCAGGCTTGGTCGTATGTGTCATGGGAGGTGAGTTGAATAGTGGTGTAGTGGTGGATGTTGTTGTGTGAATGCCAATAACGTCGGGAGAGTTCTGCAGAAATGGGAATGTTGTTCTGGAGTTGTTTGAGTTTGGCGCGGCGATTGTGCTCGCGGTGGGGGATGCCGATAGCTGTGGAGCCAACGTAGAAGTGGCCATGTTGATGGTAGCAGCGTTGGGGTTGGTCGGGATTGAAGTGGAGCTTGATGTAGACGGAATTGGAAGAGAGGAAGTTGTGGTAGTGGTAGGTGTGGGGTAAAATGTGGAGCTGGCGGAGGCGGTTGCGCCATTGTTGTGAGCGACGGGTGTTGGACGGGTATGCGAAAAGAAGTGTGATGTGGATGAGGCCGGTTGCAAAGATGGCCTCGGCGCGGTCGATGTATTGGGTGCGGTGGATGAGCATGGAAAGTGTGCGGTGCAGGTGGAAGAGTTGGGTGAGGTTGGTGTGGCCGGGTTGCTGCTGGGCCACGATGGCGAGTCAGCAACCAATGGCTGCTCCGACTCCCACCAGCTGTTGTAGGCTGCGAATTCCGAGTCGGTTGACTCGGTTGAGGGGTAGGCCATACTTGGTGGCTGCTTCTTTTAGCTGCTGCGTGGTGACTTTGCTTGTTTGCAGCAGTCGGATGACTTCCTTCGCAGCTTCTTGGATGGCGGGGTCAAAGGTAGTGACCCATTGTTGGATATCTGGGTAGTTCCAGCCTTCGGGGATGTCGTCTTGCAGGGTGGGGTGTGGTGGTTGCAAGACGTCGGCGATGGCTGGTGGTTTCGGTGGTGGTGGTGTGGGTGCGTGGGAAGGGGCGGCTGGTGCAGAAGATCGGCCGGTGTTCTTGACTGGTGTGAGCGGGTTGCCGAGGTCGTGGAGTTTCTGACGTGCCCGAGCCAGTTCGTCGTTGGTGTTTTTGAGGGCGCGTAGGGCGGAGCCTTCCGCAGGTGCTGGGGAGTGGGTTTGCAGTTGGTCGATAAGCAGTTTGATGAGGGGAGCGTGGAACGCTCGGGCATGGGTAGTTTTGTTTGGAACGTCTGTGCTCTGTTGTGTGTGGAGAGCCTCCGCTATGCCGTCAAGGTCAAGGCGGTTCTCGCGGAGTTGTTGGAGAAAAAGGGTCACGAAGACCGACTCCGCTATGCTTCTGGTGGCAATGAAACCTGTGAATTTGCCGTTGCTCAGGGTACGGGCGGTGAACTCGGAGGTACCGTGGTAAGCCAATTGCCACGGGAAGCCCTCAAAGGTGGGGAGGCCGGCCACTCCTGCTTTGCGAGACCACTGGGTGGGTTGAATTGTACGATGTAGTTGGTGGCCGTGCAGGGTGTTTGAGTCCCAATGTTGCTCGGTTGGGTTCCAGGAGTCGGGAACAGGTGGTGTGGGAGATGGGATGTGTGGGGGCGGTGGGGCAGGCGCTGTGGTGCCACGTGTGGTGGGTGGTGGCGGTGGGCTGTGTTGGAAGGTCGATGGTGGTGGAGTGACAGGTTCGGCCGTGGGCAGGGGTGGCGGCGGCGGAGGTGGAAACTCCGGCTGGGAGGTGGGTGCCTGGGGTGGGGGTGTGTGCTGCGATGGCGGTGTGTACGGTGGAGTCACATAAGGGTTGGAGTGGTGGACGTGGTGTGTGCGAAGTGCGTGAGTGAGTGGGCCGTAGGTGCCTGTGGGGCTGTAGGTGTGGTGTGCGGTGGTGGGAGGAGAAGTTGTGGTATCTGGGTTGGTGAGCTGCTGATGATGTTGCTGCATCAAATAATGATTCCAGTAGTATTGCTGCCACTGCGCGTCCATGGTGGCTGGGCGAAGTATCACTGGATCGTGGGCGTGGAGCACCGGTTGTTGATTTGAGCAAGCTGAAAATGGGAAAACAGGTGCAGGACAGTCAATTGGGGGAGCAATGGTGGCGTTAAAACAGTCATGCTGTCGGAAAACGGTTTCAAAGAGAAAAACTCGAAAGACCGCGGAGAACACAGGAAAACCGGAAAAAACCCCAAGAAGGCGTCTGTGTGGATCCGAACAACATGTTGAATATCAGACTGTCCACTGAAGCGCGCTGTTTTTCGTTGTGCAAGGTGAAACTGAACGTGGTTGTCTGCGGAGCAAGCTGAGCGACTGTCCGAAGATGATGGTGGGCGTGTTGTTGGAAAGTTGTGGTAAAAACAGAACCTACATGGCCAAAAACGTGGAGGGAGTGAGGGTAGGAAAAAGTGTTGTACAAATCATCCTCGGTGAAAT